AAACACGCGGCATAGGACTATTAGAAAAAACACAGATTCTCAAACTTTAAAATTAGAATCTGCCCCCAAAGAAATTATATCTCTATTATTTACGTTCAAATGTTCATTTCATTCATGGGGGTTTTTATGCAAAAACTAGTATTTCTTTACAAAATTACTATTATAATTATGTATTACATTAGCAAGTGAGAAATCTAATTTTCTATATCGACTACAGTGGTAATGCGACTATAATTAGATTGCCTAGTGTATATAAATATATATATAGTTTTAACTTTTTACAAAAACAGTTATTTTTAATGATCCTCGAACTAGTGACGTGTCTTAAAATGATCGATATTTTTATTAATCATTAAAAATAACTGTTTTTATAAAAAGTTAAAACTTCATGCAAATATATTAAGAAAATTAGAGAAGACTCCTTATATGATGTACTTCAACGCCCTTCAAGCTTTATTTGTAGTTTTGTAACACCCTGTATACATTATTATTTATAATAATCTCATATTTAAAGAAAACAAACTTATATTGTTATTTTTTTAAGCATTAACTGCTAGATGTTCAAATGTAAAGAAAATATTACTAGAAAAAATTTCGCTATGAGAGCCAAGGCACTGACCATTATGCTACCGCGGCTCTGAACGAAAACAAACTTACTAACTTAGTGATTTGAAGTTTTATGAAAATCTCTGAAATCATAGAAAAGTACATTTTTTATGAGTACGAAAAAGTTTTATATTTTTTAGAGAATACATATATTTAACACTGGTTCAAGTTTTCTAATGAAATCTCATTTTATATTGATTGATGGCCAATTTCAACACAATCTATCATTCAATAATTGATTTAAATACAGACATTGATTAATCATTTATAATTTAGATTATGGCATCAGTTACAGGGAACTTGGAAAAAAATGGCAGAAATGAGTTGCAGCCTTCCGTGTTACGTCTACGTCTGAGTACGACTATAGTTGAGTCACCGCGAGCTATCAATTAAAATAGTTTACAGGCGGTCGGAGCCGCCGGCCGTGCAGCGTGCGAAGCCACGTGTGTCTCCGTCAGGCGGTCACATTATTTACCACGAGGTTGCGCAAACTGCTTCGATTATTATTAATACGTAGGTTATCCAACGATAACATCCAACTGAAAGCAAAATTCCGTAAATCAATTCGAAAAACTATCACCTGCTAATTTGCGGATCCAGAAGTATTTGTCTACTGATAGTTAATGTTTTCTCATGATGGACTCAGACGGAGAAACATTCAAGGCATCTCATTCGTCATTGCGGTTTGTGTGTATCATACAGACACACACACACACACACCGGAAATGATACTACGATAAAACGTTACCGTCTTTAGATTTAGTTCATTAGCTATAAAAGTATCGACACCTATTGCCTATACCACTATACTTCGTGTAGCGTAAAGATAGGATTTTTATAATATGTAATTGGCTCCATAAAGTATTTTATGAACGGTGCAGTGTAAACCTGGCAAAGAATATACGGCGTAAACTATTTAAAAATCTCAACAGAATTAGGATTTCTTATTTAATTGGGGTTTTTGTACGTCTTTAAATCTGTTGGAATTAAAGTATATGCTTTAGAACTGTTTTTATAGGCCCCATAATATAATAAAACGACCCCATTGAACTAATTCTGGAACGTGCAACCTTATTGTGCATGCCTTTATTAAGCTGCACACGTCAATAGTTTTCCTACACGTGTACAGAGCGATCATTGTCTCATTAAAATTGCAGTACTTAGACCATTATTATTTGATTTTTCCCACGTGTTTCGATTTGGTTTTGATTAATGAGAATAAAAGGTAACAAAATCAAATAGTACCAATAGCAATATAATATCGAAACTGAAAAAGTACTACAAAAATTTAAGCAAAAGGTCAATTTTAATTTCCTCCTTTATTTTTCAAGTCGAAACATCGTAAAAGTAATAAAAACAAGTTAAAGATTATTTACCTTGAATAAATAAACCACAAGGTATGTAAGTTATTCTTAAGAAAATGCTTTTATACGCAATAATTAAATAAACATGTAAATATTTCGTTCCAAGTGGTTTCAACCAAATTGACTAACTAGATAAGAAATTATGACTTCAGACGTTATTATAACATTGATGACCTTGACTTGACGATACCTAATTAACGTGTACGTCACTCAACTCCTGCGGGAAAAATGTGTGAAATTATTATATTCTCGAAAAGTTGATGTGAAGGTTGTTATAAACGTTCTTTGGGAATCTGTCCAAAGTGAGAATTTCAATATAGGTATAAAAAGACATAAAAAGGAAGGTATGCATATAATGTCGTATATATATTAGTTTTTATTTACCCTAACATAGATCCAAATGATTGCTTGAATAGCCGAAAGCACAATCAAATCTTAAATACAAAAAGGATATCCGTATAAATAATGTATTTTTTTAAGTAAGTCAGTTTCGAACTTAATTTAATTAAAAGTTAATGTATGAAGTTATCAGACTTTAGAATTTTGGACGGAGATTAAATATACACATATGTGCATTTTCGCAGGTAACCACGCAGATAGTCTAAAATTATTGTGAGTGACATGGGCTTGCAATTTATTGGTATTTTTTTGAGACTATACATCTCAGACTTCATCATTAAGGTGAGCTTAAAAGACAAGAGAATCACACCAATATTATAAACGCGAAAGTTTGTGAGTGTGTATGTTTGTTACTTCTTCACGTCTAAACGGCTGGAGCGATTTTAATAAAATTTGATGTGGAGTTAGCTGACATCCTGGATTAACACATATGCTACATTTTACTGCGGGAAAATATCCCCAATAAACCGCGGGTAATACCGCGGGGCACAGATAGTTTATAATAAATCTTTTTAATACGTTTATTTATGCCCTATTCGAGAACCACGATACATATAAAATAATAATACGGAATACATATTAGTGCACATAATTTGTGTTTACATAATCATTGGTTTTTCATTTTTCAAATCCTCATCTTATTTTCGGTCGAAGTAAAATATTACATGTAAAGTATTACGGTTTCGCTAGAACCGCGCAAAAGAAAGTTTGCGAAACCTTAGTAAAGGCCATTCAAGGTTGCTATTGTTTGTTTGGAATACTAGGGTATTTTATCCGATATAAAGAAACAAATGTTAAAAAATCTATTCTTCACTATACTAGGTATAGTAATATACAATATATCTAAATCAGCGACAATATATATGCCATATTACTATTATTAGTACGCACATAATGTTTAAAAAAGTGCTGAAGCTTAGAATTGATCCTTGAGGGACACTTCACTGAAAATATTGTTATTTTTTTATTATATGTATGGTGTATAACATAAGCTTGCAAATACAGTCATGTTAGAGTTAGGTACTCAACTAGAAGTTAAAAGGGTTTATATGTATTATACCAATAGAAATTGTTTTACATGAATATTCATGGATCAGTGGTGGTTCACACTTGGTCAAATGCCTCATGAAAATTATAGTACAATTCTAATGAATTGTTTTCCTTTTTTTTTAAATTTCTGTTTACGATGAAAACTAAGATTGATCGTTTGTTTATTTATCGTTTGTTTTTTATTTTCCTTTGAGATATTATTGAAACGTTATGAGTTGGCCTTTGAGAATAATTTAAAGTATGTATTGCTATGAAAAGTAGGATCAAATTAAGAAAAGCACCTCATTAGATTGTAAGGATTCCCGTTCATAATTGATTAATATTTTATCACAATTCGTTAGTGTTAATACACACAAATTGCATTTTGGCTCGTTTCTATACAATGTTGGTTGCAGCTGAAAGAAGAGTCGGCCGATAAAAACGTGAGCGAATGGTAGTGGTATGCGTGTACGATACGCAGATGTGTACGCGTGTGTGAGTGCGGTCACGTTTTGCGCGGCGTGTGGAGGACAGGGCCGGCGGCGCGAGGGGCGGCGGGGCGCGGCACGGCGCGTGGCTCGTGCAGGCTAGTCTGCCCTTCCCTTCCCCGCGCACTCCGTTTATGTCCCACGTCACGTGTTAGCTGAGAGTTATTTTCGCCTCGCTTTCTTCGGCACAAATCATAATATCATCGATAAAGAATTTGAATAAAAAAAATATAATTTATCGTTCAATTACAATTAAATATTAGGTACGATGAAATTTAAATTAAAATGCGTCTTGTAACTTTCATCTTTATTGTGTTATCCTAAAGTAAAGAATGTATTTGAATTACTCAATAAATTGATGATATTAATTGTTAATGCATTAGCTTCTATATATATTGTCAAAATATTTATTTAATGAAAAATTGATTACATAATTTGAATATAATACCAAAATTTATTACGTAGTAAACGCAACACTTGCCTAAAATAAATTAACATTACTTTTAAAACTTCATTTAACCGTTGCTTACTTATATGCATTCTTATACAGAAATAGATTTTTAATTAAAGAAATGTTTGATTTCATAATTATTTGTTACAAGGAATAGTCTAATATTAGCTTCATACTTTCTTTAATCAAAATATTTGCATTGCTTTAGGTAAACAAGAAACATCCGGTTTCCTCACTCAACAGTCAGTTTTCACAAATGTTTGATGTTATTTTAAATTCGTCTATAAAAAAGTGGACACTTTGTAGTGTTATGGTTATGATAATTTGTGGACTGTATCTGAATTACCTATATTTATAGGATATAATCCTTTAAAATAGAGAAGTGGATTTATACTTCATAACTGCTGAGAAAACATTATTTTTCACTATGAATCACACAAACCCGACTATCCAGAGGTTTCTGTGATATTGAAGTCACTACTGAAAATTCAAAACAGTTTGAGAATCACTGTCTGCTATCATAATAAATAGAAGCACAAAAATAAAGAGAGACTTGATAGAATACTAGTCTATGAAATTGATAAATGGAATAAAAACGAGGAAAAACAAACAACCAATAAAAAAACCGTGAATTAATTGACTAATTTCAAACAACAGACTCACTTGTCATATTTGACAACTTGTCCATTCTCCTCCCAGTAGTGTAGAGATTCCATATTCAATTTTTTTCACAATAAAAACATCAGATCACTGCAATAAAAACATCATCCCAAAATCCACTCAGAATTATGGAGGGAAGTAAAACTATCTTTTCAAATAATTTTCCCGATAGATCGGGTAGTTTCGTTACACTGTCACGAGATTATTTATTTAGGTAAGATCTTCGCACTTCATTTTCAGCACTGAAACACAACAACTTGTTATCGTGTTTAACTGCATGCAGTAGATCGCAGAGTGGCGCGAACGTTATCAACGGTCGAGGTCCGCGGCTGTTCTGACGAAGCTAAACTTTACGAACGCCGGCCGGTTCCACTCATGTGACGGCCTCCGTCGCGTCATCAAAATAAGTAACGTCACGACCGTCGAAATGTTCCGCAATATTTCTTTCATTCAAAAATGTTATTTCCGAAAACATGGATATAAATTACTTAGACTTCTGTATCTTTTGGTATAAAGAAGCGGTTGCTAATCGACATCATATCTTAGTTGTTTTAGTTCTAGTGGATAGCGTAGCGGGCGATAACCAGCATAATGAAGTGGAAGATAACTTCGGCGGACCACGCTTGCTCGCACGTGACTTAGGCCGGCGCGGTGACGTGTTTTTACCCCCCACTCTTTCGCCCAGTGTTCTGCGTAACCTCACTACTGGATTTTTAAAAACCTATCGTTTTGAGATTAAGTGCAGGTTGTTTGCGCAGCGGCCCTAGCTCCTGCACCATGTGTAGGGCTACTAGCTACCCGGCAGCGACACTAAGTTAACGCCGCAACCGCCCCGTCCTTGGTTGGACCTCCACCACCACCGTAAGACCTACTGGCCGCTTAATCGGCCCGCCCAGTAGCACTCGGTAATACCAACCCCCCCCCCCCACTATATGGGTCCCCTCGTCAGACTCTCAGTCCGCGGTAGGACCCTGCCGGGTTGCCCTGGGTGCACCACGACCACGAAGAGGTGGTCTGGCATCGTTTCAAAGTAGCCGTTCAGAAAAACTTTAATAAATCTATCATTTCTCGACGGATTTGAATAATTTAAAAAATAGAATGCTCAGTAATTTATTGTGCATACGATTTACATGGTAAAAATCAGATTTGCAGGCTGGTACAAAAGTAGGTTGGCCACATTTTTTATGTATAAATACCTGTGTAGGTGGTACACGTGACTGAATGACAAATAAGAACATACATAGATTTGTAGCAAGTTAGTAGGCAGCCTAATGAGGCTAAGGTCTGAATTTTATACTACTCACTCAATCATTTAAACTAATTTGCTTAGGGTCAAGTTAACGATTTATGTTAAAACACGACCTCTATCTTAAAAATTAATAGTTTAATAAACTAAAACCACGCTTTTACTTACTGCACTAAAAAGTCAAAAATAAACAAAATATTATACTCTCTGTTTACTTCATTAGGGCTTTAGAGTAACCATGTTTATAGTTGATATATATGTATATATGTTACAGTTAAAACCCGTTTTTAGATAGAACGCGTTTTCCCTAGTTAAAATTAGTTTTTACTTAATGCTTTTGTTAAAACTAGAAATAACTAGTAAAAACTAGAATTTATCACTGATATATTTGATTTTCAGATAAAACTAGTTGTCACTCCTAGCTTTAGTTAATACTAGCACTAGATAAACTAATTTGGGATTGAAAAGAAGATATAGTTTTAAAAATATTTATTAAAAAGATCTAGGACACAGTCATATCGTCTCTTGAAATATGTACCTATTACCGTAACCGCCAAAAGCCAATTTTTCAGGAGAGACAAAAAAGTAATTTGAAAATTAGAGTAAATGCTATAATTTTTTATATACTTATCCTTTTGAAATTATGTTTATAGCACTTATTTTATATTATTGTGATCTTTTAGATAAACGAGATCTTAAAAAGTCAGCTATTATACATAGTTTAGAAAATAGCATGGTACTAACGTTATTTTTTTCTCAAAAAGGTGTGATTACATTAAGCATTAATGAAAAACAATAAGAAAAGTTTAAGGTAAGCAACAAAAACGAAAAAAAAACTAAAGTAACGAACACCGTTTTCGAAATTACGACTTACGTAACTCAAAAGTTATTCAAAGCACTTTCAATCATATTCAATTGTAATAAAGTCTAATTTATAATAAATTCTTCAGTTTTAGTGAATTTTAGCAGGGTATAAGTTATGCGCGGCCATTCGGAGACGGGTTCCGCGACTATACCCGCCCTCTCGGCACGCACTAGGGGCACCACGGTCCTCATAGTGCGTGTCGGGTGACGGTGCAGGAGTATTGCCTGGTTTTTAGTGGCCCTGTTCAGGGCGTAGGTAGGGGCCCTGTTCACATCAGCGAGCTCCAGGGCTGGCTGAAGGGGACAGGGAGGAGTCCCACATACCTTCTTCTCGCTCCCCTAGTGGTTGAAGGATGCGTAAGGCATTTCCCAGACACAAAAAAAAAAGGGTAGTAAGTTATAAATATTCGAATTAATAAGTAGGTAAAAAACAGTTAAATAGTTAATAAAAACTTTATAACATAAGAACTTTAAGAACAGATTTAACTGACTCGCTTCAGAAAACCGCGTATTGTCTAGTAAGAACTAGTTTTAACTGATATTCCATTTTGAGCATTAGTTAATTCTAGTTTTAACAAAAGCATTTAGTAAAAGCTATTTCTAACTAGGGAAAACGCGTTCTATCTAAAAACTGGTTTTAACTATAACACACAACTATAAGTGAAAAAGCGTGGGGCGCTTTTCATTGTAATATTTATCAAATCAATTAATATATTACGTGATGCATAATATTCAACGATTCAGTTAAAATTTAATAATGAAGCGGAATATAAACGGAATATATTAAGACGAATGTTATGAGCCCAAACTCGATTTGTTTACTAGTAGGCAGTCCTGGGTCCATCAGCCACCTTCCAGTCCATCATCAGGTCCTCGTTATCAGGAGAAATGAACAGAATGTGTTAAGACGAATCTAATTAGCCCAAATACCTTCCAGTCCATCATCAGGTCCTCGTAATTAGGAAAAATGAACAGAATGTGTTAAGATGAATCTAATGAGCCCAAACTCGATATGTTTACTAGTAGGCAGTCCAAGGTTTCATCAGCCACCTTCCAGTTCCATCATCAGATCAGCTCGATGGTACAATAATATTGTATTGTCATGTAATCTACATATAATTGCCAAGTTTTATTATGTTAAGATGAATCTCATGAGCCCAAACTCGATTCTTTTACTAGTAGGCAGTCCAGAGTCCATCTTCAGGTCCTCGTCATGAGGAAAAATTAACAGAATATATTAAGACGAATCCAATGAGTCCAAACTCGATATGTTTACTAGAAGGCAGTCTAGGGTCCATCAGCCAACTTCTAGTCCATCGTCAGGTCCTCGTCATCAAGAAAAATTAACAGAATATGTTAAGACGAATCTAATGAGCTCAAATTCGATATGTTTACTAGTAGGCAATCCAAGGTTCCATCAGCCACCTTCCAGTGCCATCATCAGACCAGCTCGGTAGTACCATAATATTGTATTATCTAATCTACATATGTTTGCCAAGTTTCATGATGATACAAGAATTAGAAGTGCGTGTAATTCTGATTCTTATATTTCATTACATAGTTAATCATAATATCATTTTTTCATTTTCATTATCATTAATCCTGGCGATCTTAATTAGGATAATGAGATAAGCCATAGTCGGGCCATAAATACTGTTAGGTACAAGAAAACCTATCTTTTTTTTCAACTTTTCAATTATTTTGAATTTGGAACACGTATATTATTTTAAAAACTTCTTTCGATTTTGCGCCATTTAACATATTTTTTCGTGTCCATATTTGTCTATGGTACGAAGCAAGCTGGAATCATTCATCACCTTTGGCTATAACAATAACAAATTGGACAGCTAATTAATTCATGATAAATACAGGACGTATACAGCGGAGTCGTTGGTATTGCAGTCGCAGCACGTGGGTGTTTCGGTCCGGTCGGGGCAACGCCACAAATATTGCGGCGAGCGGGCTTCCTTTTCACCTCGAATCACAAACGTCATCGTTGAACGTCACAAAATCAGGAGCCCTCTTCTGATTTTGTTACGCTGCCGGAGTAGCACGTTTTACGGAAAGTTTTTTCTCTTTTGGTGTTACATCAACACTTCTGATTTTGTGACGCAGTCGGAGTAGCACGTTTTACGAAAAGTTTTTTCTCTGTTGGTGTTACATCAACACTTCTGATTTTGTGACGCAGTCGGAGTAGCACGTTTTACGAAAAGTTTTTTCTCTTTTGGTGTTACATCAACACTTCTGATTTTGTGACGCTGTCGGAGTAGCACGTTTTACGAAAATGTTTTTTCCCTTTTGGTGTTACATCAACACTTCTGATTTTGTGACGCTGTCGGAGTAGCACGTTTTACGAAAAGTTTTTTCTCTTTTGGTGTTACATCAACACTTCTGATTTTGTGACGCTGCCGGAGTAGCACGTTTTAGAAAAGTTTGTTTTTCTAATTTTTAGTTTTTTAAGCATGTAACTGCTTGATGTTTAAATCTAAAGAAAATATAACTAGAAAAAAATCCACGCGGACCAGGCAGCAGACGGGACTCGAACCCTTCGCAATCCGAGCGAATGCATATATAATGCGAAGAGATGGCGCTGCCGTGCAGCTTAAGAATGGCTAGAAGAATTTCGACGCGGTCCGTGAAGGCCGTGGTAGCATAATTGGTCAGTGCATTCGCCCGGATTGCGATGGCTGCGGGTTTGAGTACCGTCTGCTGCCTGGTCCGTGTGGATTTTTTCCTAGTTATATTTTCTTTAGATTTAAACATCAAGCAGTTACATGCTTTAAAATAATAAAAAGAGGTAAATTTAAAAAATCAAAAAACCCGACTACTTACAATACAATACAAAACACTTTATTGTACACCACAGATAATATAACATTTAGTACATAACTATTAAAAACAAGTGTAACAATGGACGGCCTTATCGCTGAGAGCGATCTCTTCCAGACAACCTTTGGATGGTGAGGACTAGAAGGAAGTGGGAGAGACGGCGGCGTAAATCACTTGAGTGATATAGGTTATAATATATACATTCATATACATACATAAATATAAATATATATTAAGTAAATACATACATACATATAAATAAACAAATCTAGTTCAGTAGTAGTCACCAATGAGATTAAAACCATAAGTTCTATATGGACAGATAATGGGACTTTACAAGGTTGTTAAAAGCGTGAATAGATACTGCACGTCGTATGGTAACTGGGAGAGAATTCCACAGGTGTACGGCTCGTACTGCAAACGAACGGCTATAAAATGTTGTACCGTGTACAGGAGTCATGAGAGTAAGATTTTCTGATGACCTAAGAGATAACGTGTTAGAGGTGTGAAGGAAATTAAAACATTCCTTAGATAGCGCGGGGTCTTAGGATTAAACAATATGTTGTAAAGAAGAGTGAGAATATGAGCATTCCGGCGAAGACGAATAGGTAGCCACTTGATTATACTTCAAATAAAAACTGAAAAAAAAAACAAGTCAAGTAGTCTAATAATTCTGTTAATAAGGAACAAAGCTACTTTAACAGTCGGGACCCATTAGATATTCAAGAATACATAATATTTTTCAATAAATTAAATTTACCTCTTTTATTTCACACTTTTTAGTTAGATAGTATTTTAAGACGGTATATATCGTAGTCTTGTTACTTCAATAAGGGAATTAATATCGCGGGAATTATTAAGTAGCTTGCGGTGTCTAAACGATTGATTTATTAAGACATATAGAGACTACCAGCGGGGTC